CCCGCCCGAGCCCGCAGGAGAGAAGCGGCAGCGCCCCCCAACCCCAGGCCGGCGGCGGGTCAGGGGCTGAGGGGCTTGGACCTACTCACCCGGCGGGCGGGCCACAGCAGGGAGGGCGGCCCAGAGAGGAGGGGGAACGACTCTGCAGAAACGGGGAGGGATTTCCGGAAAAGCGAAACTGAAACTTTGCGGCCCAGGGCGGCGGAGCGCGGCGCACTCGCGCCCCGGCCTAGACGCACCCCCGGAGCCCGACGACGCCGAGAGCCATGGCCTCGACCCTCCGTTCTCCGTCCCCGCTGCTGGTGAGGGTGTCCGAGTCCAGCCCCCGAACACGCTTGAAGCTGGGAATCTACTTCCAGAGCCAGAACTCTGGCGGCGGGGAGTGCACCGTCCAGCCCCTCGACCCCAGGGACCAGGTCACCTTCCAGGTGACGTTCATGGAAAGGGAAGGTGAGCATCGGGCCGCTGCGGGTGCAAAGGGACCCGGCCCTGAGGGATTCCAAGCAGACCCAGGTCAACGTGACGTAGGAGACAGAGGGCGGGAGAAAGCACAGCACCGGGTCGTGAGCATGGGGTGAAGGTGCACACAGGAATTGTGTCTTTCCACAAAGGGTCAGCTTTATTCGGCATATATATAGCAAAGTTGACCACAATTATAAAGCAGGTTCAGGATTCCACACTCAGTGACATTTCACCATGTGATTAAACTTCACTTCTTACACAGCACACGGAGCGGGACAGAAGACGAGCCACACAACAAAGTAACAGAAGGGTGTAGGAAGTTAACGAACTAAAGGTGAAATCAGTCTGTGAGCGCGCAGTTGAGATAAGGCCTCTCTCTTGTTGGGGTCAGCTCTCAGCACTTACTGCTTATTATTTTCAAGCGGTGAAGGATCTCAGCTCTCTTCGTAGATCAGTCGGGCAGGACCTTCCTCTGCAGCTGCCTTTTTTTAAGTGGTCTGACATAGAGAGGTCATGTCTGAAGAGTCTGACAGTTTGCTGCAAAAATCCCGTCCTGCTTTTTAAAGGGATTTAATTGGTCTTGGGCCTCTGCCGACCTCCTCTGCTTCTGCTTGTTATCAGTTCTGGGGTGTCAGCTGATGCTGGGCCCAGCGATGTCTCTTAGCTGCAGTACCTTTAACTACTTGTGTCATTGCTTGACCCAGGCCCCTGTTTGACATAAGAGACTCCGTTTTGCTTGCTACACACTGTCTGGTGGGGAGAGGAATGGTGGGGGAGGGCCTCTTGCTGCCCAAAGATGCAACCCAACAGGGAGACGAGAGCCCAGTAGTGCCCAGTTGGTTGGTGATCTGATCTGACTGCATTTTTTTAATTAATCAATTAATTTATGAGAGAGACAGAGACAACATGAGCAGGGGAGGGGCAGAGGAAGGGGAGAGAGAGAATCCCAAGCAGGCTCTGTGCTGTCAGCACAGATCCCGATGTAGGGCTCGAACTCACGAAACCGTGAGATCATGACATGAGCCAAAACCAAGAGTCAGATGCTTAACCAAGTAAACCACCCAGGGGCCCCTGATCAGACTGCATTTTAAAGTTGATGCTTTCCAGTATCCTCATCCTGACTCAAATTTCTTAGCTCTGGGAAGAACACCTTTCCCTCCCCTAGATACCTGTAAACTCTTGTCATTTAGGAATTCTATTTTTGATTCTTGCTCTTTTCACTTAACTTTATATAATGAATATTATTCCATATCATTAAAATGGGAAGTTGGAGACATTTTCAGAAACGCGACTTTTAAAGAGTAGACTGTATTCCATTATCATGAGCTTTCATTTCTACAGCTGCCCCCGTTAGAGTTTGAATAGCTCCTGCACAGATGCCCTGTCATCAGTCCACCATTCCAGGATGCAGGGAGCAGCCTTCCTGGGAAGCTGCTGGGGCAGGGTACAGATGCGCGAATAAGAGGTTTATTTGAAGCCTTTCCCATGTGTATGTATGTGTTAAATGTTTCCACTGAAGCTAAAGAGAGAGTCTTGAAGAAAGAAAAGCATCAAATTATGATTGACAACAAACTTGTGACTGTTTTTCTGGAGCCCACTGAGAATCCAACAGAGAAGAATGCAAGACCCAGAACATCTTCACTGGCACAGTCACAAGATGCTTCTGGTGAGAGGCATCCAAACAAAGAACATATTCCTAATGCCGTGGATTCCTGTGTCCAAAAGGTGAGGACTGAAAGAAGGAGGTGGGTATGTTCCTGCACCTTCTTCTCCATTCACCATATCTTTCATTATTGATCCAGCCACCACTTGCTGAAGACTTACTTGGAGGCGGGTACTCTTTTAGGCCTTGGGGCATAGAAGTGAGCACAATAGACAAGGTCCCCGCTGGGTGGGGAGGTACATAGAAAGACAAGAAGCAAGTAAACAAGATAAGTAAAATAATTTCAGGCAGTGATATGTGCTATGAAGAAAATATAATAGGGTTTTGCCTTAGAGGGTGACAGGGCCAGGGTGAGGAAGGGGAAGGGAGTGGTGCTGCTTCTGACCAGAAGTCAGAGACAGTTTCTCTGAGGAGATGACGTTTGGCCTGAGACTTGAGTGATGAGAAGGAGCCAGCCATGCAGTCATTCAACCAATCAATATCAACTGCCTGCTGTGTGCCAGGCACTGTCACAGGATCTGGAGACCACTGTTGTAAATAAGATATCAGGAAAAAACCTCTCAAATGAGATAGTGTCTGAGTAGAGACATGAATGAAGTAAGGGAGCTAACTAAGTGAGGTAAGAATGTCTGAGGCAGAGGGAAGCACAAGTGCAAAGGCACTGAGACAGGAGCTTCTATCCTCAACCCCAAGGCTTCAAGGAGGGAGACAGGTGTGACTAAAAGGCAGTGGGCAAGGAAGAGAGTGACAGGAAAGGAATTTGGAGAAGTAGCCAGAAGTCAGGTTTTGGGGGGATGAAGGTAGGGACTTTGGATTTTAACTTCAATATTAGGGGATTCATCTGATCAATCATTTTGAACCAGGGGAGTAGGGTGATCTGATTTACATTTCTAAATGTAATGTAACGGTTGCTGTGTGGAGGACTGAGTGTCCTCAGAAGGGGCCAGAGCAGAAGCAGGAGGTGAGAGCCCAGTTAGGAGGGCTTGCAGCAGGCCAGGAGCAAGATGACAGTGGCTTGGAGTCTGGGTGGTCCTGATGGAGGTGTAAGAAGTGGCCGCATTCAGAGAAACATTTGAAAGAAGATCTGGAGGAAGGACGTTACATGTGGAGGAAATAGCACATGCAAAAACCTTGAGGGGAGCAGATCATAGAAATCTGGCTTTTCGATTACATTCAATTTGCCTCTGTCCTTTTTAGCTTAACTGCTGTTTTTTTGTCCTATATTAGAGCTTCTCAAAGGACAGGATTTAGAGGGCCCAGCAATACTGCATGCAGTTAGGTGTTTAATTTTTGTTTTTGTTTCTGTTTTTAAAAAGGAGGGGAGTTGAAGAAGTGAAAAAACTGAATAGGAAAAAAAAGAATAGGAAAAAACATCCTTTTCAGATTTATGACTCCCTTCCAAGCTCACGGACTCTTGTGAGAACCACGGCTGCTGGCCCGAGAGCAGAAGTACCTTCCCTTCACTCCATTCCCCAATAGCGGAGAGAGTGGGAGGCTCTAGAATCCGGAATTCTTGTCCACGTCACTTGTTAAATACGCCTCGTGCCCAGGCTCTACAGTTACATCAGACTCTCTGGAGATGGACCTGGTCCTTGGCTTGTTTGTTTGTTTGTTTGTTTGTTTTTCTTTTGCTTTGTTTTCATTCCCCAGGTGATTCTAATGTGCAGACAGAGCTGAGAACCTCTGGGCTGTAGCATACGGCATCCTCCGCAAAAAGGGTTTGAAAGAAGTCACCCTCTCTGCTAAGGGAAGACATAATGGCTATTTGTCTGGTCTCTAGACACTGTCCTGACAGGAGACTGTTGAGCTGATGTCTGACAGATTTTGTTTGTTCCTTTTAAAATTTCAGATCTTTCTTAGTGTCACAGCTGACCTGAACTGTGACCTCTTCTCTAAAGAGCAGAGGGAACACATAACCACCATCTGCCCCAACATCAAAAAGATGGAAGGGCACAATGGAATTGAGAAGGTGTGTGGTACCTTCGGAGATATTGAAAAAATACATCACTTCTTGAATAAGCAGCTCCGGGAAAGGGGGCAGAAACATGAATCTTCCTCTTTGACAACAGAGAAGGAGCCAGTCCATCAGCACCAGAACGGCTGCCCTTATTCCCCTGAACCAAAAAACAGGGCAGAAGAAAAAAGTGGCCATTTTGAAATTCCCTTGCCTTTCTTTGAATACTTCCAATTTATCTATCCTGATAAAATGGACTCAATACAGAACAGATTTGGTGTAAAAATAATAATCCAGCAGAGTTCGAACATAGTCTATTTAGACTTCACCTCGAATCAACCAGGTGACCTCAGAGCAGCTCAGGAGTTTTTTGTCAGTGAATTTCAGAAAACTGTAGGACTTCTGGAGCAACAATGTGTTGTTTTCGCAGACAGTAAGCAGGCAAATAAAATCAAACAGGAATTGAATCATCGGTTTACAAAGCTCCTTATAAAAGAAAAAGGAGGAGAATTAACTCTCCTTGGGACCCAAGATGACATTTCAGCTGCCAGATATTTTTTTGCTCTGAAAGACTCTGAAAGTCCTGTCATGGGACCTGTGAAAATATCAACTCCCAGATGCATGATGAATGGAATTGAAGTTGATACTTTTCAGTATAAGCTTTTAGAAGCTGAAATACTCCAGGAGATACCAAAGATAGAAAAAAAGTATGACACTCAATGTAAGGTTTCAGGAAACACTGAGAAAACCTGCATCCTATTTGAACCTAAGGACAAGGAATTAGATCTGTCTGCCCATGCTTATGCAAGTTTCATTGATGTCTATCAACATGTGTCATGTCAAGTGTTGAGAGAAGTTCTTTCCCTGAAACCTTTGGGCAAAGAGAGAATGCACTTACATGGGACCAAGTTTGCTGATGGCTTTAGGAAAAAGCATCCTAATGTACACTTTGTACTGAATCAAGAGTCAATGACTTTGATTGGATTGCCAGATCACCTTGCAAAGGCAAAGCAGTATATCTTTAAAAAAGTGGGGATGTCCCCATTAGCTGGAGACAAATGGAATGAGGACCACGAAACATCCATGGACATTGACAGTAATGATTCAAAAACAGCTTCACCCACATTCCAGCACCCTGCCGGTTCTGGGGCGTCAGGCATGGACAAGGAAGAGGACATATGTAGCATCTGCATGGACATGATTAGTAACAAAGAAGTGCTACCCAAGTGCAAGCACGCATTCTGCTCCCCTTGTATCAACAAAGCCATGTCCTATAAACCGGTCTGTCCTGTGTGCCAGACTTCCTATGGTATCCAGAAAGGCAATCAGCCAGAGGGAACCATGACTGTCACTGTCCTAGAAGACTCACTTCCAGGTTATGAATCCTGTGGCTCCATTGTGATTAATTATAACATGAAAGGAGGCATTCAAACAGTAAGTGTTTCTTGAGGTGCGTGGGTTTCTTTCCAGTATGTTAGAATTACAGAGCAAGAGACTGTTCTCTTGCCAATTACTGGATTTCCCAGGGTATTATTTTCATGGTTATATATGCAAGGGCTTTAAATAGTGATAAAGGTAGCAATGTTTGCTTATAACTTAGGTATCTTTTGTGTCTATTAAGGCAGAGAAAGAGTGAGTGGTGATTATGTGTTAGAATGGTGCAAATCAGAAGATGAATAGTGTTTCCAGCATGAACATAGGGAGAGAGGAGATATATGAATTATTGGGAATATGCACAAACCTTTAATATTTTGTTTGTTTTTGATTTTCCTTATCTACAAATGAGCATGTCTATCGGTAGAGTAAAATTTAGACATGGGAGTGTTTTCAGGTGATATTTTCTTGTCTTCATACAGGAAAAGCACCCAAACCCAGGAAAGGCATACTCTGGAGTACAACGAACAGCATACCTGCCCAATAATGAGGAAGGAATCGAAGTTTTGAGACTGCTTCGTAGGGCCTTTAACCAAAAGCTGATTTTTACGGTGGGGGAGTCTCGAGCATTAGGAATCTCAGATGTCATTACATGGAATGACATCCACCACAAAACATCCCGTTTTGGGGGCCCGCAAAAGTGAGAACCTTCTGAAACATAATGATTGCTAAATAGGATTTAGAGGTTATAAAATACGGCAATTTGAGGATGTGGCTATAAGGAGACTTTACAGCAGTGGGATTGGATACAATAAAGTCTTTTTTTTGAAGTATAGTTGATATACAATGTTATATTAGTTTCAGGTGTGCAGCTGTTGATTCCACAATTGTGTACATTAGGTGGTGCTTACCACAAGTGTAGTTAGTTACTATCACCATACAAAGTTGTTACTATATTCTGACTATATTACATATATATACAATATATATATTATATACATAATATAAGGTATATTATATACATTATAGATGTAATATTTATAATACCCTGACTGTATTCCCTGTATTTTTTTCATCCCTGTGACTTAATTTATTTTACAATTGGAAGTTTGTACCTTTTAGTCCCTTTCACCTCTTTTGCCTGTCTCCCCCAACCAGCAGCCTCCCTTACTCCAGCAACCACCAATTTGTTCTCTGTATTTGTGACACTGTTTCTGTGTGTGTGTGTGTGTGTGTGTGTGTGTGTGTTGTATTTTAGATCCGACGTGTAAGTGAAGTCATATGGCATATTTGTCTTTCTCTAACTTATATCACCCAGCATAATCATCTCTAGGTCTATCTGTGTTGTTGCAAATGGCAAGATTTCATCCTTTTTTAAAAAAAAGTTAATATTTATTTATTTTTGAGAGAGAGAGAGAGAGAGAGAGAGGGAGAGCTCAAGTGGGGGAGGGGCAAAGAGAGATGGAGAGGATCAAAGAGGGCTGTGTGCTGACATAAGCAAGCCCGATATGGGGCTTGAACTGTGAGATCATGACCTGAGCCAAAGCCAGGTGCTC